AAGTACAAATGAATTCCGAGTTGAGTCACTCCTTCAAGCGCAGAGCACGGTTATTTGTATTTGATGGGTGAGTTTGGTTTATGAGGATATTTGGGGGGGCTACTACACCTGGCAGTGCTCAGGAATCATTCTCATGGATGCTGGCGGGGGCACGCTGTGCGTGTGTGATGCCAGGGATTAAACTAGGATCAGGGCTGGAGTGCTAGTACAGCAGTAAGTACCTTGTAAGCAGGTTTGATCCCTGGCATCCCACACAATTCCCTGAGCACCGCCAGGACTAATTCCTGAGTGCAGAGCCAGGAGTAACCCCTGAGCATCACCAGGTAGAAAGAAAGAAAGAAAGAAAGGAAGGAAGGAAGGAAGGAAGGAAGGAAGGAAGGAAGGAAGGAAGGAAGGAAGGAAGACAAATAAATAAACTGGGGTCAGGCAGCTGCCTTGTTCTTTTCCAGTCTCTGAAGCCCCCTGATGGGTGGGTTTGGATGTGGAGGAACACACAGCCAGTCCGCTGTTGGTAGTTTAGACTTTGGGGGGAAGGGAGAGGGGCCCACTTAGCCCCACTCAGTGCCAGGAATTTGCTCTTGGTGGTGCTGGGTGTGTGTGTGGGGGGGGGGGGGCAGGGAGCAGCCGCACAGAAGCCGGGCTTGAACTTGAATGCAAATCATGTGCCCGGCCCATTAAATTAATGATTTGGTTTCATGGGAAGGGATTTGCAAGATACGGAACCCGGTGGATCGCTGAAGAAGCCTGCCTATGAGGCTTTCAGACGAGATGCAGGAGGTCTCGGAAGAAGACAAAGCAGATGCTTTTCTTTTTCTTTCGGGATTTTGGGGTCAGACTCTGTGTTCTCGGGACTCTCTCTCAGCAGTGTTCTGGGGAGACCTTAGGGTCAGGGATGAAACTGGGGTTGGCTGTGTGCAAGGCAGGCACCCTCGCTCCTGTACTGTCTCAGGCCCCAAACAGAGGAAGCATTACAATTTTGAAAGGAAAGTGAGCTTGCTTCTTTTTTTCCCCTCCGGTGTTTTCACCAGGCACTGTGGCTGCGGTACCTACCGCTGGCATAATGCTCTCGGTCCCCACCCCCCGCCTTCCCTCTGCTCTGTCCAATACCCCTTGCTTTGTCCATCTTTACACTTTATGATAAACGTTGTATCGTAGAGTGACCATTCCTTCCCTCCTTTCCAGCTTTAGTAAACCCAGTGGAGTGTTTTTTGGCTATTGCTTTGTTTTTTTTCATGGCTGAGCATTTTTGCCTGATACTTAGCTGCCCGTGATCCTGTCAGTTTTTGCCTCCTGGGTTCCAGGGTATTTGGCTTCAGAAAATAGGGGCAGGATCAGTCAGTGAAAGGTCTGTCACAGCTCCTGGTAGTTTCCAAAGCAGGTCGAGGCCCTCAGGGTGGCCTGCAGCTTCTTCAAATGAAAGCCAGTGCTTACCTGGCTCGAAGCTAACCCAGGTTCGACCCTCGGCATCCCATGTGGCTCCCCTTGAGCCCCACCAGGAGTGATCCCTGAGCTCTGAGCCAGGGGTCAGCCTTTAAGCATCACTGGATACAGCCCAAGACATCAACAACAACAACAACAAAAAAACCCTGACTTTGGATCCTTTTGGAAAGTGAGACGTGGCCTCAGACTCTGCTGAGAGGGGCTGTGAAGGTGGGTGCTGGCCCACAGCCCGCAGAGGCGAACAAAAGGGCTGCGTGCGGAGGGGGGAGGGGCGTCTCCCCTGGGTGGGAGGCCCCGGGCCTGCCCCTTCCTCCTTTCGGGTGCTTACAGTCGGTATTTACAGAGGCAAACAGCCTTCATCACCAAGGCTGCCATTTAGCACATGACTCTTGGGAGAGGAAAACGATACAAATAATCCTCTTGGTGGCTGGGTGCCAAGTAGCTAAACCCAGGGCTGGTCCTGGAACCTGTATTGGGAGGGTGCCGGACTGGCAGGGATCCATCCCTTCCACTGAGAGTCGAAACTTGAACAATCACAAAAAAGCTCTCTGTGTTTGACACTCAACTAAGAGTAACTCTGTGTGTTATGGTGCCTCAATTTATTTTTTTTTTAAAAATGTCACTGTCACTGTCCTCCCGTTATTCATCGATTTACTCAAGTGGGCCCAGTAACGTCTCCATTGTGACACTTGTTACTGTGTTTGGCATATCGAATATGTAAAAAAAAAGAAAAAGATTTCTCTAGGGGCCAGAGCACTTGCTTGGCATGCAGGATGCCAGGTGCTAGCCCAGGCTCTGCTCGGGCCTTCGAGCACCGGCTGGGAGCAAAGCCTGAGCACCAAGCTGGGAGTTTCCCCCAAGTACCACTGGGTATGGCCCTGAAATACAAAACAAGGAGGGAGATTTCTCCCGACAGCTGTAGGTTTTGCTTACTGGACTCGCAGCCTCTTCCTTCCTCACCGTGCCACAGAGGCCGACGGCGAAAGGTCAGTTTGGAGCCAGAGCTTGGAGGATTCTTGGTGTCGGAGAAGGAATCGGAGCTCTGTGGGAAGGCAGGGCTGAGCAGGATCCTGGTGTGTCTCGGACATCCCAGCCGTGGGCGTGGCCCAGCGTGTGGGCTTCACTTTCTTATGTGTGATTGGATGTCAGGTGTGTGTCCTGAGGTCCTTACGGGACTTTCTGCACCGGGTCGTGCTGTGAGTGGGTAGCCCAGGCTCGCAAAGGTGCTCCGTGTGCTGTCCATGCTGGCTTTCTGCGCCCCTCTGCCTCTTTTCTTACGGTGCTTGAGGGACTAAGCCCTTGGGGCTGAGGGGGGCGGGGCCGGGGGCAGCGGCAGGCAGGGTCCATGATCTGAGCTGGAGAGACTGAAGGGGAGAGGAAATGCTGCTCATTTGGGCAGAACCGTTATTTCCTTAAAGCCACGCTCCCCCACCCCCGCCCCCAACTCAAATAGGTGCCGGAATTGAACCCACAAGTGTGCATTGAGCCGGTGCATCGGCGAGGGCTGTCGGGGCACTGTCTCTGGAGCTGTTTGCCCCGACACGGTCAGGATGTGGTCAGTTCATGTCTTGCTGCTCAGCAGATGGTGACGGCCGAGAGCAGCTTCCCTCTCCTGAAGTTTGTCTTCCAGTGGGTTGGACTGGCAGGGTACCGTCCGATTTCTTTTGAAGTCCTTTGCAAATGGTGAAATGCATGAGTACTGGGGCCGGAGAGATGGTGCCGCAGGTAGGGCACTTGCATGCAGTTGGCCCAAGTGTGATCCCGGCCTCCCACGTGTTCTCAGGCACCGCCAGAAGTGATTCTTGAGCAAGAGCCAGGAGTAACCCCTGAGCACTGTGGGTTGTGCCCCCTTCCCGCCCACCCAACAAACGAACAAACAAACTTGAGTCCTTTTCCTAATTTTCAGACAAGGGAAGAACAATGCCTCTTATCAGTTGGACAGTTTTCCAAAAACGTGACTATAAAATATTCATATCAGAATTTGCCAGTTTTTTGAGTAGGTGCTCCAAGCAGTTTTCAGGAGGTCACCGCCGTTCTCAGCCAGCATGGGTCATCTGTTCAGTGAGGATGTGATGCTTGCTGCTCGGGGGGCTAACGGTCGAGAGGGTGGGTGGTGGCAGGAATCTCCTCTGTTTTGGGTGCATGCTGGGTATGCGTCTTAGCTGCTGTTCTGTCTCCCAGCCCCAGAGTTGACCATTTCTGGGCGACTACCTAAATCCTCAGTGCTGTGCCTCTATTCCTCTGTCCCACCTCCAGAATGTTCTTGCTTTAGCGACCCCCGTCACTCCCCTGTCAGTCTGATATCTGTGTGAATTTGACTTCTCCAGCCAGCCACCTCAGAAAGTGAACTCCTGCTTATCACGTGGGCTGGGAAACGGCTCAGGACTGGAGTGCACGCTCTGCAGGCTGGGCCCCTGGGTTCCCAGCATTGCACGGTCCCCTGAGCACAGCTGCAGGGGGCCTGTGACACCCGCCTGCAGCGGCCCCTGGGGCAGCCCAGAGTGTCCTCAGCATCGACTGTTAGTGACCGGCATAGTTTGCTCTTCCTTTTTTATTTTTTTCTTTTTGTGTCAGACCCGGCAATGCACAGGGGTTACTCCTGGCTCGTGCACTAAGGAATTACTCCTGGCAGTGCTCGGGGGACCATATGGGATGCTGGGAATCGAACCTGGGTCCACCACGTGCAAGGCAAATGCAAGGCAAATGCAAGGCAAATGCAAGGCAAATGCCCTACCCGCTGTGCTATCGCTCCAGCCCCCATAGTTTACTCTTAAAGAGCAAAGATATGCACATGTGGCCTGGTTAAGGCACTTGCCTGGGCCATGACCAGCCCGTATTTTGATCCCTGGCATCCCATCTGGTCCCCCAGCACCTCCAGGAGTGATCCCGGAGCACAGAGCCAGGGTAATCCCCAGCACTGCCAAACCGAACCATTCTCCCCCCAAACTGGATATACACACATCTGTATATGTATTTTTGTAATGTATTTTTTCACTCCAACTCATGCTTTTCATTACTCTCTGGCATGAATGATTCTGCAGATGCTTGATTTTTACCTAAGATGTACAGGTAAATATCCTCCTGCCTTCTTAGCTATTCATTTTTTGGAAACAGCTCTGTATTAAATCAAGATTTTGTGGGATTGCACTGTAGGGGCCCAGTCAGATCTGATTCTATAATACGGAATCTTTTTATATGATCTGATCATGCCTAGTGAGTGTCTTTCCCCAAATATAACTGTCAGTTTGGCCATCAGCCCCCAGCCCCGGCCTTCCCCGAAGAAGAGAGCATAAGAATGCCTGTAGGGCTTGTTTTTTTAATTTTTTTTCCATTCGGCTGTACCCAGGGCTTACTCCTGGCTCTGTGCTCAGGGATCATTATTCCTGGTGAAGCTCGAGGAACCATATGGGGTGCTGAGGATCGAACCCCGATTGGCTGTGTGTAAGGCAAGCGCCCTACCTGCTGTGCTCACTCCAGCCCCTGAGCCCTCTTAATAGGGGCTGCAGAAACTGTGTGGACTTTTCATTTCAAAGGTGACCTCTTGGCTTTTCTGCTTGTAGGTGGTTTCCCTTGAAATCCAAGCCTGGAAAGAAGGAAAAAGACCGCGGTGAGATCGAGGTTGACGTCCAGTTCATGAGAAACAACATGACCGCCAGCATGTTCGACCTCTCCATGAAGGACAAGTCTCGGAACCCGTTTGGGAAGCTGAAGGACAAGATCAAGGGAAAGAGCAAGGACAGCGCATCAGACACGTCATCGGCCATCGTGCCCGGCTCCCTGGCCTCGGGAGACAGTGACGACGAGTCGTCTCTGAAAGACAAGAAGAAGAAATCCAAGATAAAGACCCTGTTCTCCAAGTCTGCTTTGCAGAAAACGCCACTTTCCCAGTCCATGTCTGTCCTGCCGACGTCCAAGTCAGACCGAGTGCTGCTCCGTCCTGGGGACTTCCAGTCCCGGTGGGGGGATGAGGAGGAGGAGGACAATGAGGACCAGCCCTCGACTGCTTCTGACGGTGAGTCTCCTCCTCCTCCGCCTCCTCCTCCGCCGCCTCCTCCTCCTCGTCCTCTTCCTCCTCCACCTCCTCCTCCTCTCTCCTCTCTCCTCCTCCTCCTCTTCCTCTTCCTCCTCCTCCTCCCCCCTTTTCCCTCCTCCCTCCTCCCTCCTTCTCCTTTTCTCCCCTCCTCCCTCTTTCCTTCCTCCTCCTCCTCTCTCCTCCCTCCTCCTCTTCCCTCCTCCTCCTCCCTCATGCCTCCTCCCTCCTCCCTCCTCTTCCTCCTCCTCCTCCTCCTTCTCCTCCTGCCTCATCCCTCCTCCTCCTCCCTCCTGCCTCCTCTCTCCTCCTCCTTCTCCTTCTCCTCCTCCTCCTTCTTCCTCCTCCTCCTCCCTCCTGCCTCCTCCCTCCTCCTTCCTCCCTCCTCTTTCTCCTTCTCCTCCTCCCTCCTCCTCTCTCCTCCTCCCTCCTCCTCCTCCTCCCTCCTCCTTCTTTCCTTCCTCCTCCTCCTCCTCTCTCCTCCCTCCTCCTCCTCTTTCTTCCCTCCTCCTCCTCGCTGAATCAACTGTGCATGTTGAGCTTCTGTCTGAATGACCAGATCCAGATCCTTCCCACTGACCGGGTTCTGCTTCTGTCCCGAGAGCACGCCCCTTTCCCTGGTTTCATGCAGGATTCACCCGCCCCGTGCGGGGGTCCCGTCCCCTCTGGGGCCCGTGCCTGCTCTTTCGCAGCGTCCCTGGCCTCTTCCTGCTGGGCCCAGCAGTATTTGGGCGGCATCAGGGCCTTTTCGCCTCCACGCATAAACTGCTCACTTAACTTCCTGAGGGGCAGGATGGCAGGGGCACCGGGCGGGCTGGGGGACCCTGTGGGGAGCCAGGGTGTCCCCGGCTGGCTGCGTGTGAGACAGGGGCCCTCCCCGCTGTGCTGTTGCTCGTCTGACTTCTTGTCCCCTTTCTCCTCCTGTTCCTCCCCAGCCCCGTCTCCCAGGAGAGCGGCAGCCGCAGAGCCCAGGCCGCTCAGCCAGGTCAGCCTCAGCCTCCCCAGGAAGGACGGGCTCTCGTTCCTCGGTGGCCTGCGCTCCAAGAACGACCTCCTGTCGCGCTCCAATGTCTGCATCAACGGGAACCACGTGTACGCAGAGCCGCCCGAGGCCAAGGACAGCTCGCCCTCCTCCTCACCCTCGCCCCAGAGCGCCAGGAAGAGGCAGCTGTTCTCGTCCATGGAGAACCTGGTGGCATCTCCCGAGCCCCCCACGGCCAGGGCTCCCGCCCGCGACCCCCGGGAGAGCCCCCCGCCGGCGCACTCGGAGGCCGGCAGAGAAGCCAAAGAGACCAAGAAGCAGGAGGGCAAGAAGTCCTCTCTGCTTTCCCTGGTGACGGGAAAGAAGGACGTGGCAAGGGCCAGCGAGGGCGACAGCCCCCCTGCCGCTCCCAGGAGAGAGAAGGAGACCGGGCCCGCGGAGACCGGGGCCGCAGAAACGCGGGTGAAGCTAGTGGAGGACGGCACCGCAGGCGTCCCCGAGAGGGCTCCGGCCTCGAACCCCTTCGAAGAGGTCCACGTCGGGGACCCGGAAGCTGGCCCGGAGTCCACCCCCAAGCCCACGGTGCCTGTGCCCGCGCCCAGGGCCCCTCAGACCAAAGCCGTCAAACCCCGGTGAGCTGGGCCGCCTGGGCGGGTCTCTCTCTGCCTGTCACGGCCTTGGGCCAGGCCTGCTGTCAGGGCTGCTCCTGCCCGGTCTGTAGAGGGCCCTGCAGTGCCAAGGGTTTGCCATCTGAGTTGTTAGCTTGTGCGTGTGTGCGGTGTGTGTTGGTTTGGGGGGTGACACCTGGCAGTGCTCCGGGCTAGTCCTGGCTTGGTGATGGGACAGGTGGTGGTCACTCCCGGTGGTGCTGGGACCCTCCACCAGGACTTGACCCCCCACTCCTCTCTCAGAGCCAGCACTCCAGCCCGGGGCTTCCAGCTCTGACCCCTGAGGCGTTATTCCACAACTAGCCACAGGGCAGTGCTGGGACCCCTGGGGATCTGCTCTGCCCCCAGTGCCAAACCAACCAAGCTTGGGAGCAGATTTGGGGTATTGTGAGTTGGGGACACCCAGCTGGGCGCAAGATCTGTGCAGGGCCTGTGAGGAGAGTGTGTGTGTGTGTGTGTGTGTTTCTGCCCATGGTCACTGCGCACCATGCCCAGCCATGCAGACCCCGGGACGGACCCCAGGAGGGTCCCGGGGCTGGCATATCAGGGTGGGTATGCGCTCGCTCTCTCGGCCACCTCCTCAGCCGAGCCTGCCCACATCTCACCTCTCCTCTGGGCACTGTGACATGGGTTGACCACTGGCACATGCCACCCTGAGTCCCCCCAGTGTGCCAGAGAAAGTCTCAGTGCTTCACTTTTCTACCCCACGGCTGGCAGTGAGCCCGCGAGCCCAGGGCACTTCCCTGCGTTTCTGGGTGGCTCATGTGTGTGTCTGTGGTGGTGGTGGGGGGGGTGGGTACAATCAGTGTGGTGGTTGCTGTTGGGTTGTTTCTTTTTTGAGATTCTGTGCACGTGCTCGCTGTCTGTCTCTCGCTCGCTGTCTGTACACACATGCGCGCACACACACACGCGCACGCGCGCACACACACACACACACACACATGCACCGCCCATCCAGAATTCCTCTTTAAATCGCATGTGCTGTTTTCCTGCTGCGCCCTTGGCTGCCTCTGTCCTCATGGGATGCATTTTACTACCCAGACAAACCCGGCTCCCTGGATCTTTCTGTCCCACCGACAGCCCCGGGTGGCACACGTGCCCTGGAGAAGGTCTCCCTGGCAGGTTCCTCTGAGTGCTACTCCGCTGTCGGGTCAGAGTGCGGGAACCCCCGCTGCTTGTTCTCCGTGACAGTGCCCAGGCCCCTGCAGCTGACCGGCAGGTTTCTATTTTGTCCTTTTTGCAGACGGGAAGCATCTCCAGAGCCTCTGCCCGCTGCCGTGCCCCCTCCCCGCCCCGCCTCTCCTCTCCGTGTCTCTGCTCTGTCTGCCCCTGCTGAGAGCCTCCCCGCCTGTCCCCTGCCCTCCTCCTCCTCCCCCACCGCAGCCCCCCTTGCCACCTCCACCCCCGTTGAGCACTGGCCCTCCACAGGCCCAGCCGGGGCCCAGCAGCCAACTCTGCTGCCTCCGGCCGGGGTGCAGCAACCTCGCGCCCCCAGCCCCGCGTCACCCCCAGAGCCGCCCGGCGCTGAGCAGGGTGGGCTGGAAGCCCCTCTCGCGTCAGGTCAGGACAGGAAGGTCAGCCGTGAGCACTCGGAAGAACCACTGCCGTGGGAAGCAGGTCGGCATGAAGCCAGGGGGCTCCTGCCCCGAGCACAGCCCCGCCAGGTGCCTTCCCTGGCTGGGGTTCGAGAGCCCCTCACACCCGATGGCGGCCACGGGGAGCCCTCGGGGGAGGACAGCCCGGACAGCGAGGGGCAGCCCAGGGCTTTTGCAGACAGGGGTAGGACCCCCGCCACGGCTTCTGCCGTGGCACCTCCACTCCCCACGGGAGACCCCTCCGAGGGCGGGAGGAAGGCCAAGAAGCGCGTGTCCTTCTCCGAGTGGCCTATTACAGAAGGGGAAGAGGGGCAGGGGCCCAGTCCAGGTGGGGAGGACTCCCAGGAGCCGACCCTGGCGGGCGGGGAGCGTTCTGCCGAGCCGGGCCTCTCCCCCGGGGAAGCGCCCTCGGAAGGCGGCCCGGGGACCCAGAGCAGAGCCGGGGCCCGCGAAGGCGGCCCGGACTCGAGTCTCCCTTCCATCCCTGAAGTCGCCTCGGACGATGAGAGATTCGATCCCCCGGAGGGAGATGGAGGCACACGCAGGGCGGGTGGGGTGGTCACTACCCCTGACGCAGATGCCGGCACTGGCCCCAGGGGTGGTGGGGAGGTGGTGGAGGTGCCCAGCTGCCCCCGTGGCATGGCCCCAGTCTCCCCTGTCGCCAGCCCCCGCTCTCCCGAGACCTGTCCTGCCGCACCCCCTTTTCCCCGCTCCCCACACTCTGACACTCCCCGCCTCAGCACCGCAGAATCTCAAAAAAAAGCCACAGCAGAGGGCAAAGCGGAACCTTCTAGCAAGAGGAAGCCGCTGCTTCAGGCCCGGGTCTCCCCCTCAGAGGCAGCCGAGCACAGGTGAGACGGGCGGGTCTTTGCATCGCTGTGCGTGGCCGCCCGGTGTGGCCCACACCAAGCCCCCTGCTCGCTCACGCCTGCCAAGGCTCCGGCTCCCGCCTTTCCCGCTCTTCTGGTGACGCCAACAACACGGCTGCGTTTGGCTGCTGGGCCTGTCCTCAGAGGGCAGCGCGGGCGGGCAGCCCTGGAGACAGCTCTGGCTCTGTGGCAGGAAAGTCGCGGCTGTCCTTCCCACTGAGGCCTGTGGCGGGCGGAACAGTGCAGGAGTGGTTCTGTTGGGCCAGAGCTGCGGGTGCACTGAGACCAGCACCCTCCCGCTCGGGGAGCAGAACCCAGCTCGCCCCCCCCCCCCCCCCCCCCCCCGCTGCCTCCAGGCTCCACCAGGCAGAAAACTGGTGTTTGGGGCACATTCTTTCGTTTTGAGGAACAGCGGGAACAACTGGATTCCGAGACTCTAGAGGCTTCTGAAAATAATCTTGGGGCTGGCGAGAGCCTCAGGCCCGTGTGCATGTCCCTTAGGCGGAGACCCAGGGTTTGGTCTCTGGCACTGCATGACCGCCCAGGTACCACTGGGATCGGTTCCTGACATATAGAACCCTGGGGGGCCCCTGAGCACTGCTGGGTAGGGTTCCGGGCCGCACCACCACCTCTGTGCTGTGTTTCTCGGACACTGAGGTAAGGACGCCTGACCCCCAGTGTGCAGGTGGCCACTCGGGGCAGCTCTTTCCTCTCGCTGGGGATGTGGTGTGTATCGCCGCTCTGTGTCCCCGCCTCACTCCTCTGTGGACAGTCCTCAAGAGCTTTCTTGGCTGGAAGCATCAGAGGATGGTCTGAAGACTCTCCTTCCTTCTCTTTAGACCCCATCCTGTGAAGCCGATGAACACGACAGCCACCAAGATCGCAAACTCCAGCCTGGGAACTGCCACCGTCATCAGCGAGAAATTGATCAACGAAGCTCTGATGAAGGTGTGTCTCCCCTGGGGCTGTTACCTAGGAGGGGGGTAATGACCATTGGTGGGTCACATGTTGTCTTTGGGTGATCTTTGTCGTGACACTTTTCCCTTGGATAATTACTTATTTAGTCATTATTGGATCTGGGTGTGTGTGTGGGGTGTGGGTCTGTGTGTAGCAACAAGATCTAAGTTCTGCTGGCCCAGTCAAATCAACATTTTATTTTCCCATGTTTGCTTTTATATCTTTTCACGAGAATGTCAAATTCTTGTACTCGTGGCCCAGATACACTTTTCTCGGTAACTATTTTGAAATAATTTTGAACGTCAAAAAAGTTGTAAAATCAGGACAAAGAACCCTTGTGTAGGGTCACTCTTTCTCAGCCTCACTTGCTGTGGTCTTTAGTTGCTGCCACCAGCAGTCTGAACCCATCACACAACGGAGACCTCACCTACCTTTTCTTTAGCACGTTGTTATAACTGTTGGATTTTATTGGTGTTACTACTCTCTTAATCTACGGGTGTGAGGTTGTCACAGGTCAGCACATATCAGGAAAGTATTTCTCTGTGGGGTTAGTACTGTCAGTTTCATGCATCTTCCGGGGTCCTGGATATGTTCTGGCCACAATGTTTGTCATCCCCCTGGACCTGTCAGTTTACCAGAGCTGCCTTGTCATTCCCACCCTTCTCCCCTGTAGGACCCCCACCCCAACCCTGTGTGTGTGTGTGTGTGTGTGTGTGTGTGTGTGTGTGTGTGTGTGTGTGAGCATGCCTGGTGTTTCTACTGAACTGAATGTATGTTGTATGCACCGTGCCCTTCATTGTCTCGAAATACTCTGATGTGTCACTGTCACTGTCTTCCTGTTGTTCATCGATTTCCTCGAGCGGGCCCAGTAACGTCTCCATTGTGACAATTGTTACTGTGTTTGGCATATCGAATATGTCACAGGTAGCTTGCCAGGCTTTGCCTTCCAGGCGAGATACTCTCAGTAGTTTGCCGGGTTCTCTGAGAGGGGTGGAGGAATCGAACTTGGGTCAGCCATGTTGGCCGCTTGCAAGGCAAATGTCCTACCCACTGTGATGTGTAGTTATTATTTTTCCTTTTTTGTTGTTCACACACTTGGATTCTGGGTGCACACAGCTGGTTGCTTTGCTCACCTGAGTGCTGGGATCACAGTGGCAGCCCTCAGTGATATGGGGCATTGCTGGAGCTTGGTCTTAGGGCCACACACCTGCCACATCCCTGTCCCCTGGCGGGTGATTCTTCATTATAAGGACATTGGGACTGGACTGATAATACAGCACCTAGGGCACTTGCCTTGCATGTGGCCAACCCCAGTTCGATCCCTGGCACCCTACGTGGTCCCCTGAACCCCTCCAGGACTACTGATCCCTGAGCTCAGATCTAGGAGTAAGCCCTGAGCACTGAAGCATGTGGCCCCTCAAAATTAAAAATGAAGAATCGGCTATTGAGGGGTCAGGTATAGGGCTGAGGAGCAGAGCCATGGAAGGCAACTTCCTGGGTTCAATTCCTGACCCCACTGGGTGTGGTCCCACAACCATAAAAACAGTAACACTCAAAATCTAAAACATTTCAAATTGATGTCACCTCTCTTTTTTTTATGTAGCACTGTAGCACTGTCCTCCCATTGTTCATCGATTTGTTCAAGCGGGCCCAGTAACATCTCCATTGTGAAACTTGTTGTTAATGTGTTTGGCATATCGAATACGTCACGGGGAGCTTGGCAGGCTGTGTGGGTGAGATACTCTCGGTAGCTTGCCGGGCTCTCCGAGAGGGGCGGAGGAATCGAACTCGGGTTAGCAGGGCTGGCTGCGCGCAAGGCAAATGTCCTACCACTGTGCTTTTACCAGTTGTTGCTGGAGTGTGCTTTGTATTTGTGTTTGGAGAGGTAAAAATCTACTATTGTGTAATCGCCACCCATAGGAGTTCTGGTTGCCATTTGTCAGCATACGAAGTGAGCTTTTAGGATCCAGCTTTGGTCTTTGAAGACATTGGCAGTGTGTGGGGAGACGAGGCAGGGGCAAAGCCCAGTGGTGCCCGGGACCACATGGTGCTGGGGATCGAGCCGGGGTTGGCCACGTGCAAGGCAGAACTAGCTTTGTGTCCAAGACGTTGACTTTAGGAGGCTGCCAGGTGGGGGGTTGGACCACACCTAGTGGTGCCCAGGGGTCACTTCTGGCTTTGCACTCGCCCCCCGGTGGTGCTTGAGTGGCCACATGAGTTGCCAGGGACTGAATCCGTGGCTGCCGCGTGCAAGGCAAGTGCCCTACTCACCAAACTATCTCTCTCCAGCCCGAGACACTGGTATTTTAAAAGAATTGTCACTGCACGTTCTATAGGATTTTCTTCATGCTGGAGTTTTGGATGTTTCCCCGGGGTCTGGTGAGGTTTTGCATTCTGGGCAGGAATTAAGTAAATGACAGCCCTGCGTGGCGTCAGACAAGAGTCCCAGCCTCCCAGCGCCTTCCCTCAGGGCGACTGAGCAACGTGGTGTCTCCAGGGGCCCGGTGCAGGTTGCTGGTGTTTCCTTCATACGTACTCAGAAGTGAGTGGGGCATCGATTTGCCCGCTCCTCTGCAGGCACTGGGTTAGGACCCGCTGGGGACTCTCCGGTGGAACCCTCCAAGTTCTCTTTCAGTCATGTGCATCTGTGCAGGTTGCCTCTTAATATTCTTGGAAGTGCTTATCGTAATATTGACCTCGCCATTCCCCTTTATTGTATAGTTAGGGTTGTTCCCGGTTTTGTTTCCTGTAAATGAGACTTTGTATCAGGAACACTTTCTGACCCAGCTCATCTCCCCTCCTCCTAGGATACTAAATCTTAGGAAGCCAGTTGCTGGGTGCGAGGGTCCCTTCTCTCTGAGAAGCACGGGCAGCTCCTCGGTAGCTGGTCTGTCTGTCTGTCTGTCTGTCTGTCTGTCTCTCTCTCTCTCTCTCTCTCCCCCCCCTCCCTCCCTCCCTTCCTTCCTCCCTCCCTCGGTCGGTCCCTCTCTCTCCTCCTCCCTCTCTCCCTCTCTCTTCCTCCCTCTCCCCCCCCTCCTCTCTTCCTCTCCCTCTTCCGCCACTCCCCCCCTCCCCCTCTCCCTCTCATGGTGACCTATTGTCTGCCCAGAATCTCTCTTCGCCTCATTGTCACATGAGCTGGGGGAGTAGGGTTTACAGAGACAGGGATGGCAGTTAGTGGACAAGGATGTGTTTGTGTAGCAGATACGAAAGAGGAATTTCCTGTCTGCTGGGTCTATAGGAATCAATGTATCGCTGTTTGGGGGTCAGGGCCCAGGAAACTCTCATTCTTAGATTTTCCTGACCCAGGGATGCCAAGACGTCAACTAGGCTTTGTGTTTCCAGTGTTGGCCACACCCAGTGGCGCCTGGGGCTGCTTCTGACTCCTGCCGCCCCTGGGAATTGAACCCGAGTTGCCTCCATGGAAAGCTTGTGCCTGAACCTGAACATTAGTTTCTTTGTCACTACAAACACTGATGCAGAGAGCATGTGATCCCCACCCCTAGTTTTTCGTTTACTTTATTTTTCACTTATCCTATTTTTTTTGTTTTGTTTTTTTTTGTGCCACACCCAACCATGCTCGGGGCTCACTCCTAGTAGGCTCAGGGACCACATGAGGTGCCAGGGATCGAACCAGGTCGGCTACTTGCAAGGCAAACACCTTACCCTCTGTACTAACTTTCTGACCACTTTTTAATTTTTCTCTATTAGCACAGCAGTAGGGCGTTTGCCTTGTGCGCGGCCAGCCTGGCCGAGCCAGGTTCAATTCCTCCGCCCCTCCCGGAGAGCCCGGCAAGCTACCGAGAGTATCTCGCCCGCACGGCACAGCACAGCCTGGCAAGCTCCCCGTGACGTATTCAGTATGCCAAACACAGTAACAACAAGCCTCACAATGGAGACGTTACTGGGCCTGCTCGAGCAAATCAATGAACAATGGGGGAGGACAGTGCCGTGCTATTATTATTTATTTATTTTTGGTTTTAGTACCATACCCAACAGTCCCCAGGGCTTACTCCAAAGTAGGAGCTCAGTAGTTACTCCTGGCAGTACTCAGGGATACGGGAGTACTGAATGGGTCAGTGAAAAGCAAGTGACTTAACCTGGTACTATCTTTCCATCATTTTTTTAATTAAAACTTTGTTTGCATCTCCTTCGTTTTTGTGAGTGTTGTTATTGTTGTGTGTGTGTGTGTGTGTGTGTGTGTGTGTGTGTGTTGCTGAGGATTGAACCCAGGGCCTCACGGGCAGCAAGCACTCTGTTGCTCAGCCTTGTCCCCAGCCTTGCAAGCATTTTTCCAAGTGCTTGGGTGGTTGGTGCTCCATTGTACCTGTAGCCCTGGGAGCAGGACCAAAAGATCCTCAGTACCAGGAATCGGTGCTGGAATCAAATTCATGTCCCCCGGCCTCCCTCCTTTCCCTTCTATTGTAGGACTACTGACAGGGGCTAACACTGAGCCATAACTCAGCTGGCTTCTGTACTTGTTACATCTGGAAGAGGCAGCACTGGGGGCAGAGAAATAGTGCAGTGGGCAGGGTGCTTGCATTGCATGTCGTCGACCCTGGTTCAGTTCCCGGCACCACACGTGGTCTCCTGTATCCACCTTGACATGGTCCCTGAGCACAGCCTGGAATATGCCCTGATGACCTCCAGGTGTGGCCAGAACAAAACCAAACCAAACTACGAGTGGCAGATCTTCTTTATTCTGGAGGTAGGGATGTTTGCTAAGAAATGGGGCTGAACAACATCCTTAAAAGGGCACAGATGACCGCTAGAGTCATTTGCAGCCTTTAGGCCACGTTCTCATCCTCTTACTGTGGAATAGAGCGGTCCAAAATAAGCGCAAACTCAGCCTTTGGAAAGTGAACACGACTTTGGGCCGCTGGGGCTGGAGCGATTGGGGAGGGTGATGCTGACCCGGGTTCAGTCCCCGCCATCCCATATGGTCCCTGAGCACCACCAAGAGTGATTCCTGAGTGCAGAGCCAGGAGTAAGCTCTGAGCAACAGCCAGTGTGGCCCCCAAACAAGCAAACAAAAAAAGAGATCTTTGGCTGCTCCTTTACGCTTCAAAGCTCAGGAGCTTATCTCTTAAGAGCCCCTGATTAGGGGAATTACTTGCCCTGAAAACAAAGGCCACTGCTGCTCTTTTGCTTCTGGTTTGCAGGCCCCCCCCTCCCCCCCACTGCCGCTCAGCCTGGCTCATACCTAATAAATACCCAGGGTAATCATGGGAAGCTTCCTGGAGCCTGCTCTTAGCTTGCTCTATAATAGGTCCTTTGTTCTAGGGCATAGACGTTTTTCTTTTAAGAAATAAAAGCACGACTCTTTAGAAATGTTGCGAAGTAAGAGGTTAGGGAAAGAAGTCGCAAAGGTTCTTAGGTAAAGTTATGAGAAGCTAGCGGATTATTACTATATAATAATAAAGTTTTGTTGGTTATTGTGTTAGGCCCACCATCTCTTTTGTAGACAATTTATGACCCGGAGTGTGTTATTAACCCAGGTAGCTTAACAGCTTGCACTTTGCACACACTTAAAATTTTAAATCACGTAAAGTTTTAAAAACACTTATTTTGAGGCTGGAGTGATAGCACAGTGGGTAGGGCGTTTGCCTTGCACGCGGCCGACCCGGGTTCTATTCCCAGCATCCCTTATGGTCCGCCGAGCACCACCGGGGTAATTCCTGAGTGCAAAGCCAGGAGTAACCCCTGAGCATCACCGGATATGACCCAAAAAAGCAAAAAAAAAACAAAAACTTATTTTAAGGTCATGTAAATTCTTAGATCCAACTAATCAGCTGTCATATGGAAAAACTGGACGTGAATCTGAATTCATATCATTGCTAATATGTAAACTAGACGGGAGGGTGCCAGGGAGTGCTCAAGGGAGTGCCTGCTCAGGGCACAGGCCCGGGCTCAGCCCCAGGTGCCACAGGGATCCCAGCCACATGCCGGGAAGGGCCTCCCCTCAAAAAATGGGAACACTCACATGAAGGCAAAAGACATCCTTAAAAAGCCATTCTAAAACTCCTCGAAGGAGGGTCTGGAGAGAGAGCACAGCGGGTAAGGCTTGCCTTGCATGCAGCTGACCAGGGTTCGATCCCAAGCATCCCATATGGTCCCCTGAGCTCTGCCAGGAGTAATTCCTGAGTGCAGAGCCAGGAGTCACCCCTGAGCATCACCAGTGTGGCCCCCAAAAATCCTTGAAGGAAGTCTATGATAAAGGGTATTGTTGATATTTGGGGGTTTCAGTGGTGCTGGGGGTCATCAAAGCCACACCCTGCAGCACCTGGGGCTCTCCAGGGCGTCATGTTAGGGTAGGGTGGCATGTGGTTTTGGGGATCTAGCGCAGGGTCCACACATGCTACACTTACATACCAGTCTTTCGAGATCTCTTCCTGGCCCCGAATGTGTATTTTTTAATTATTTTTTTTCTCCTTTTCATTTGCCCTTGAGACACATCTTCTTGGCGATTTTTAGCAAACAGCCTACAATTTTTTAAAAAATCACTTATGTTTTGTTTTGAGGGGTCTTGGTTTGGAAGAGCTCAGGGAGTATTCTTGGCGTGAGCTCAGGGTGTACTCTTGGTGTGAGGGAGTACTCTCGGCATAAGCTCAGGGAGTACTCTTGGCATGTGGGCCATGAGGGAGTACTCTTGGCATGAGGAAGTGCTCTTGGCACGAGGGAGTGTTCTTGCCATGAGGGAGTACTCTTGGCGTGCGGGAGTACTCTTGGTGTGAGGGGCACAAGGGAGTGCTCCCAGTGTCACTTCAGCCTGTGCTCAGCTCACTGCACTCTCTGGTTCCTCTTTTTAACTTTCTCTTTGTCATAAGCGTTCTTGGGCTTCTCCCTTTTCTTCCTGTCCCTTGCGACAGCAGACACTGGGGCTGGCACGCTCAGCTCCGGCACGCTGGGCTCACGCTGCTGTGACTCTGGGAATCCCCAAGGAGAGGCCGCTCGGGCCTGCGAGCTTCTGACCACCTGCGCGAGGGGGGGGGGGGGGGGGTCTTTCACTGAGCCCTCCCCGGCCCTAGTGTGTGTCCAGTAGGACACCCCGTAGAGACACAGCTCACAGACCAACAGGTGCGGTGCACACCTGACAGCTCTCCAGGGGCTACTCCGGAGCCATGCCTGGTGGGGCCCGGGGACCATGTGGGGCAGGAGGGGGCCTGGAGCCCCAGCCCTCCCCACCCTTGAGAGCATCGTCCCCTAACCCCCTGGCGTTCTTTACAACTCTCCCAGGTACCAGCTTTCTGTCTGGGTTGAAGATTGTTCGGAAAGTGGCCAATTAGAGACCAAATCATGAGGAGTGGCCCATGAAGGGCTCCTTGGATTCCCGAAACAAAAGTGGGGTCGGTTGAAATGGGACCAGCCTTACTGAGCCCAACTTAATTGAGGTGTTTTATGGGGAAATGGTGGTGTGGGTTTTGAAGCTGGTTTGCTATCACTGGCTTCTGCTGCCTTGTTAGGACAGGATGGTTCTGTCCTTGGGCGAGGCGGGCAGGGGTCGGTCCTGCATCACTCAGGGACTGATCCCAGCACTCCTGCGTGCAGAGCGTGCTGGCTGCAGTGGGCCCCTGCAGCTGCCCTGGCTTGGCTGGCAGAGCTCGTCTCCCCAAGGCTTCCTGTGAGGCCTGGTCGCCCCGGGGCTGTACCAGCAGCACTGTCTGTGGCCTGAGGTTGGGACCCTGTTTTCTTGTTTTTTCTTGTTATTTCGGTGGCTCTAGAGATGGAATCCCCAGCCTCCCGCTGCTGGGCTGGGCCACCCCCACCATACCCAGACCCTGTTTCTTTCTACTTCCAAAGCTGGAGGGGGTCAGGGGTTGCAGTTCAGCTTTCTCTGTGTTTCTTCTGAGTTGTTACCACTGATGGTGCAGCAGCACCTGTGTGTGTGTGTGTGTGTGTGTGTGTGTGTGTGTGTGTGTGTGTGTGTTGGGGGTGGGGGGACGGGCTCCTGCCTCTCCTGCTCTGTGCCTGCCCCTGCTGTCACCGTCACCGGGATGGCTGGGAGATGGGAGAGAGGGTGGTTCCTGCCCCTCCGGCCCCAGGCTCTCCACAGACCCCTGTGCCTTTGCGCTAGATCCTGGACCCCCAGCCCCGCCTTAGGGCTATGATGCTCCTTCCCTGTCTTTGTGGTTTTTCTGTTTTCTTTCGTCTTAAGTGAATCACTGAATCACAAAGTGACCAGGTGATTCATGCTTGAGTTTCAGGCACACCTTTCACCCGTGTCCTTCTCTCTATCCATGCCACGCCCCTGCCCCGCCCCCTCCTGCTTGCTCCCCCCCCCCGCCCCGCCCCGCTGTTACTGAGGGGGATCCTGCAGTCCCCCAGCCTCTTTTCAGCCCTTGCCCTGGCCAGTGACCGCTTCCCTCATTGTCGGGTCCCTTCCTGGAGCTGTCCCACCCTCCGGCAAGCTTCCACCCCTGTACTTTCCCGAGCCGCAATTGCGTGACTTCATCCTTTCTGTTCATTTGTCTGGGGGCCACGCTCAGCGGCTCTGCGCTCAGGGTTCCCTCCTGGTGGGACTCTCGGGGGACAGCCACAGAGACGGGAAAGGTAGAACAGGAACCAGAGGCGCTTGACACTCAGCTAGGGGAAGTCGGCTGAGTTCCTCTTTGCCAGGGATCAAGCCCAGATGGGCCCCGTGCGAGGCAGCCATCTCTGTACTGTCTCCGCCCCAATTTCTGGCCTTCAGGTCGGTGCCACCGGTGGCTGCTCCGGTGATTGACCGATCCTGTGGGCTGAGGGTCAGCCTGATCCTTCCGCGTGGGAAGCATACTCTCGGCCTTCTGAACCGTCTCTGTGCCTCTGGTTTTTTAATTTTGTTTGTGGGTAGGGAGATCAAGGTCACATTCAGGTGTGTTCTCCGCCTGGCTTTCTGCTCAGAAGTGCCTTTGGTGGTGCTCAGGGAACCCTAATACGTGGTGCCAGGTACCTCAGGGGGTCAGCGGCATGCAGAGCAACTGCCTCAACCCCTGTATTGTCCCTCCAGCGCTGGCTTTTATCTTTTTAAAGGATCACAGGGCTAAAACAACAAAAGTCCCTCTCGGTCCCTTCCCCCCAACCCCGCCTGTCTCTGGTCCTGTGAACAACCATCAGTCAACAGCCAGTTCTAGACTGGAGCCAAAGGCATTCCCGTTAGACCCTGAGCTCCCGGTGACATTCATGTCTCCCTCTTACGCATTTCTCTTAGATGTTTGACTCCAATGCTGACTTTATCCCTTTCTCTTCCGTCTCTCTCCTCTCGCCAGAAATACAATCCCTCGGACCCTGCTTTTGCCTACGCACAGCTAACCCACGATGAGCTGATCCAGCTGGTCCTCAAGCAGAAGGAAGCAATAAGCAAGAAGGAGTTTCAGGTCCGAGAGCTGGAAGATTACATCGACAACCTGCTGGTGCGAGTCATGGAAGAAACCCCCAACATCCTCCGTGTTCCAGCCCAGGTCGGCAAGAAAGCAGGAAAGATGTGAACCGGCGGCCCCCAGCGTGAGCCATCTCGGGAGACTTTGCTCCCAGCTGCCCCTGAGGTCGGGCCTCAGAAGGCTGATAACCACACTCAGGCGCCAAACCATCTCCCTCTCCTTATCTGGCAAGACTCAGTTCTACCCACCGAGGCCAGGTTAATCATTACAATGACTCTTACTGTACATTCGGGGTTGTATTTGTAAATGCCGCTGTGCCTTTAACTGTGCTGTAAATATTTCAGGCCCTGACCGAGATGTGGTCATACCATCTGATCACGGCCTTAGGGATTCGGATGGCCCGGAGGCATGAATGTATTTTTAACATTGGGGATTTTCTTTCTTTAAGATTTTACCGTGTGTAGCACCTAGTCATTAAAGCTTGGGGTGAAATGCCAAGGGTGTCGGACACCCTGCTACATGTGCTTTCTTCGGAGGACCTCGGACATGGCAACAAACACGTCTAAACCCCCGGGCTTCTCCCCCACGCGCGCTCCTGGCTTTGACCAGGAGGTTTTTCCCCATCTCAGCCTTCCAGTGATTCACGCAGTCCAGCATGTGCTCTGCACGGCTCTCGCCAGCCCAGAGACTGGAGAGGTGGAACAGGAGCCAGGGGTGCCTGGCACTTTGCTCGGGGAAGTCGCTCTGAGTCCCTCTGTGCAGGTGGCAGGTTCCTGCTGGCTGGCTGCCCTCGGCAGTGCCTTGCTCAGGGACCGGGGGCCAAGAGCTTCCCAAACCCCAGTGCTCCCTTTACTGGCCCCTGGTTTCCTTTGCACACTGCCAGGCATTTCCCCCTTTGTTAGATATTGTGAAGAGCAGCAAAATTATACCATTTTCTAGATAGCTGCTCTATTAAAAACTAGATCAAGACATACTATTTTTGGTTTTTTGGGCCACACCTGGTGATTGCTCCTGGCTTTGCACTAAGGAATTACTCCTGGCGGTGCCGGGGGGGGGGGGGGGGCCTATGTATGGAATGCCGGGTCGAACCCGGGTCGACCATGTGCAGGGCAAACACCTTCCCACTGTATTCTTGCTATGGCCCCATGACCTAATTCAGATATTGGAATTTTTTTTGGGGGGGTGTACTTTTTTGCTCATTTTCCCCTCCTGGTTGTGATGGAATCTCCGTACCTCTTGACATCTCTCCTGGGGGAAGAAGTCCTAGGCCAGCAGCGTGTGGACAGGCGTCAGGACGGGGCCAGTTACTGGCCCCGCGTCTCGCCTCGCCTGTGAGAGGTGATCGGCAGCGAAATGCCTTCTCACAGGATTGCCTTTGCTCCCACATGAGTAACATTAGAGCACTTTAATTTGAAGGATGACCCTGTAGCTTATCTAATTAACTTTTCATTCTCTGTGGCTCTTTTATTTAATACCTTCCTGCAGTACTGGAGACCGCTGCCTACTTCTCAGATGATGTGTGTGTTTTTATAGCCTCTAAAATGCATTCACTTAGCTCTGAGGAGAACCGGATAGCCACGTGAACTCTGAAAAATTACACACATATATTTTGCAATTGTTTTTTCTTTTTACTTGATATCAATGTATTTTCGACTGTGATAACCCACTCCTTTGAAGAGCCTGGGGAGACGCGTTGTGCGTGAAGGTGGTTGATTTGGAGACAGTCTGCTGCTCGGACCTTAGGCACGTCAGTTCACGTATTCGCGAACGTCAGAGCGGGGCCTCTGGGGAGAAGAGTGAATGCCTGTGCTCTGAAGTGCCACTTGGGAACTCCGGGAATGAAGGTCATTGTGCTATGTCTGCTGCTGCTACGGATGTTGGTGGCATTCCTGCACCTGGCACGGCAGATAACCTGAAGGTGATGAGTTAACCATTCCCAAGGAACGCGCAGTGGAGGAGAACAGGGTGGGAAAGTTTGTGCCTGCTCTGAGCCACCAGCTAAGGCAGGGGAAGTGGATGCTGTCTGTACCCATGGGCAGGGGTCTGGGGCCAACAGCCCCGCAGCCCCGGGAGAGCGGGGCCTCACCCCTCCCCACAAATGCTACTCTCTGCGAGGTGCTCTGGGAGCTCCCTGTGGCCTGGACAGACGGCAGCAGCCCTGACCTTGGCCTTGCCTGGCTGCCTGCAGGAAGAGCCCAGGGTATGCAGGGAGGCATCTGATCCCGAACAACCCCCTCACAGCAAACTGGAGATCAATTTTCCGAAAATGCCCCCGACCCTTTGCCTCGTGGTCTCACATCATCGCATTCCGCTGACAACGGCTATTCTTGATCTGCCACCTACCACTGCTCCCCTTATTCCTGTGTTAGCCATGGGCAGGGTGGCCCAGTGGAGGGGTGAGAAGACCAGCCCTTTGCATGTTGTCTCAGCACATGCGCTCCGTGGCTGGATTTTGTCTCAGCACATGGGCTCCGCGAGGCGGGGCTGGGAGACCCACACGTGAATCAGCTTGACTGACAGTGGGAGCTCAGGGGCACCGAGGGGACAGGGGCTGAGGGCTCGGCCACATTCCCTGTGTTGAAGGCCATGACACATTTGAAGTCATTCTGGATCTTCCCTCCTGTGGGTCCCTGCTGCTTTATATCTTTCTTTCTTTTTTTTTTTTTTTAAAGAAATACTAGTTAATGATCCTTCATGCCTGAAAGAGGAATCAGGTTGGTGGGGGAGAGACGGCCCTCCCCCCAACGGCACCACGGTCTCATCTCAGCTTTCTCTGGTCTAATCTGGGTGCTGCCAACTCCTTGGCCTCCCTCCAACTGAGGCAGCCCCAGCATGTTTTGCATTATTGGATCATTTCCTACTTCGGGAATTTGGGATTTCTTGGCTTTCATTTGTAAGAAGTACCCTAAAATTTCCTAGAACACTAAATAAAAAGATCCTACCTTTCAGTGACGACCCTGTGGCTCTGTTATGTCTGGGGCAAGAAAAATGTCTCTGTCTTCCAGCAGAGCCTCTCTGGGGAGCGAGGATGAGTGGCATGGATTCCTGCTACTGCCCCTTCACCTACTATTGCCAACTGTCCTTCCTCCTGCAGAGCATGAAGCATCCTGGGTCCCTCCCCTGTGACACAGGGACCATGGCATTTGGCCTAAAAGCATCACTTGAAGGCTCTGCCCCTTGTGCCCAAGGCTGCACCCTGTCAGAAGGTACCTCTGACCCAGTGAACATCAAGGTCCCTCTGTGGCTTTCCCCCATTGTCATCTCTGAATGCCCCTGTGTGGGAACCCAGGTGCCAACCACTGAGCCTGTTTCTTCCCAGTCCAGGATTTGGGCTGCAGGCAGTCCAGGTCAGAGGAGCGCTGTCCCCACTGCCCCGTCCCCACTCCTGGCCACAGTTTTGGTCTGTAGATTTTTCCCGAGCAATGCCAGGCAGTCTTGGGTGAGCAGATTCACTCTAAATTCTGCACCACCCACAGGTAACTCCATTATGTGCATGCCATCTGTCTGTGTTGCATTACTTTTAAAATGAAGATGAGGGGCTGGAGTGATGGCACAGTGGGAAGGACATTTGCCTTGCACGCGGCCGACCCAGGTTCAATTCCCGGCATCCCATATGTTCTCCTGAGCACCACCAGGAGTAATTCCTGAGTGCAAAGCCAGGAGTAACCCCTGTGCATTGCTGGGTGTGACCCAGAAAGGAAAAAAAAAAAAAAGATGATGAACTGCGGCCAGAGCAATAGTACAGCAGGATGTGGTCTCCTTGCCTGAGGCTGACCCAGGTTTGATCCCCGGAATCCCACATGGTCCCCCTGAGCCTCCGAGCTGTGCCAGGAGTAATTCTTGAGTGCAGAGCCAGGAGTGACTGACCTTTGAGCATCGCTGGGTATGGCCCCAAACCCCCTCCCTGCAGAAAAATATTAAGATAAATTACAATAATGAAAAGTAAAAATAGTGATTTGAGGGTCTGAGAGAGAGTACATTGGGCAGGGCACTTGCCTTGCATGTGGCCGTACCAGGATGATCCCTGAGCAGAGCCAGGAGTAAGCCCTGGGAGCAACAGGGGAAGGCCCAAAACAAAAGAAAAACTAGTGATTGAGAGTGACAAGACAGTTGGGTGGTCTTGGGCACTTTGGTGGTAAGATACAGTAACTGTACATCAGAACCATAAGTATTAATACAGTTGTAATCATGTTACCTAAACAGCTATAAGAATAAGTAGCTCTATGGCACTGTCCTCCTGTTGTTCATCGATTTGCTCGAGCGGGCACCAGTAATGTCTCCATTGTGAGACTTGTTACTGTTTTTTGGCATATAGAATACGCCATGGGGAGCTTGCCAGGCTTTGCCGTGCGGGCGGGATCCTCTTGGTAGCTTGCCAGGCTCTCCGAGAGGGATGGAGGAATTGAACCCGGGTCGGCCTTGTGCAAGGCAAACACCCTACCTGCTGTGCTATCGCTCCAGTCCATAAGAATAAATACTGATAAATAGTACTCCTATGTTTAAAAAATGACTGAAAAAGAGTTTAAAAAAATAAAATGAAGACAGGAACACACACTCAACATCTGTGTAAATGTCTCCGTGTCTTTAGTCCTGGACTTGCAAACATTTTTGCACCTTAAAACCTTTTCACCAACAAATGCAACACAGGCAAGTTGTTACACTTCATTCATTTGTTGTTGATTTTGAGTGTGTGGCTGTTGCCGAATCCCTTGTGTGTTGCCCGACTGCTGCTTCAGCTCCCACCGCAGTTTGAGAAGCGGGGCTCCAGCCAGATATGAAAACTAGCACACACAGAGCGGCATATGCTCGGCTCGAGGCAAGGACACGCGTGCAGCCCACCACGTAGCATCATGCAGAGTGAAATCAGCAGGAGGGGGACGGATGCAGAATGAGCTCTCATGAGTGGGAGGTGGTCAGCCCTAGGAGGGGGAATAACGATGGCCAGAGACAGCAGGACCTGAGAGCTGGCCTACAGCACTGAGCCCTCCGTGGTGGGGGGTGGGTGAGGGGGTGAGCGGGGAACCCAGACAGTGGGGGGGGGGGTTGTGGGGCTGGAATGTTCCATGCATGAACCCTAGCACAAACAGCATTGCAAATCACAGTGCCTCAAATAAAATGTGAAAAGGGTCTGAGAGAAAGTACATTGAAGGCTCTGCCCCTTATGCCCAAGGCTGATGCCCCATGCAGGAGCAGGTGGGAAATAAGAGACCCCCATGGCCTCTCTCCGCCCGCCCACCAGTAGTGCAGTGCTGACTGCTTACATGATCTGGGACACTTGGCTCTCAGACTATCTGTCACCTCAGTCAGAATGAGTTTTCCTGCGTGAGCACCCTGGCCTCCCCCCATGAGAAAATAGTCACCTTCAGGGGGCCATTGTCATATTTTTGAGGGGATGTTCCCAAAGCAGTCCTCAGGGACCAAGGGCCTCTCCGGGCCGGGGGATAAGGCCATGCATGAGCCAGTGAGGCTGGGGGCCAACAGGGCAGCTCCAGCGGCGCTTTAGGGGGCAGTGCTGTGCAGGGGGTTGGACTTGGGGTCTCCTGCAGACCAGGCATGTGCTCGAACCCTTTTTGTTTTGTTTTTGTGTTTGGGCCACAGCCACTCAGCAGTGCTCGGGGCTTACTCCTGGCTCTACTCAGGAATCACTCTTGGTGGTGTGA